AGACTACGAAACGTTGTTTAAAGAAATCAATGGGGAAAACTTTTCTTTCGTTCGAAGAAATGCGAACAATGTTGGTTGAAATAGAATCGACTTTGAACAACAGACCACTAACATACGTTTACGATGACAATGAAGGTGTTTCGCTTCCATTGACTCCGTCCTGTCTCATATACGGAAGAAGAATAGCGACAACTCCAAATGATTCACAGTTTGAGATCTCAAGTACGAATCAATCGCTCACAAATCGAGCGAAGCATCAAAATCGAGTGTTAAAGAACTTTACAACGCAATGGAAGAAAGACTATTTGTTAAGTTTACGAGAGTCGTCAAAGGCACAATCCAGAGGTGCTGAGATAATATCTGTTGGAGATATTGTAGTCCTGAAGAACGAAAGTACTGCACGTATTTTCTGGAAACTGGCGAAGGTTGAGGAACTTATTACAAGCAAAGATAACATTGTGCGATCAGCGAAAGTCGGTGTTTTGGATGAAGCTAACAAGAAGATTCAGCTGCGAAGACCCATTCAACATTTGGTTCCGCTTGAAATAAGCTGGAAGAACATGACATAGATGACTCGATAGGTAGTTTAGTTTAGTTTTGTTCTGTTTTTGTGCACCGAGGGTGAACAACGCCGGGAGTGTAAATGACGTCAATTGTTATTGCGCAATTTCGCGCGCTTTGTGAACACGTGACACTAAGTTAGGAACGCTTTTAGGAAAAAAGTTCGACAATCGACAGAACGACAACAATGTTTGAATTTTATTTTGTATATTTTTATTTATATTAAAGCGTTTAAATTGTACGAGTATACGACATTAATTACAGTTGTTGACAGCCAAGATGTTCTGCCAACTTGCTTCGCCGGCAAAAGTCTTATTTTTAATATCAGGTCGTACCGTCGTAATTGTTTTCTGAGCTACATCGCCTTCTTCGTGGTATGATTGAGAATTTAATTGTTGCTGTTATTAGCCCGTTAGTCGTTAGAGTATATCCGCGTCCAGCAAATTGAGACCTTGAGAAAGCTTGGCAGTCAAGCCGTGCACAGAACTGACTAATTAAATCTTTGTTTGCTGTTCGCCTGTTCGGTTAAATAGAGAAACTGACTCTTAATTATATAAAAGTACCTTGAATTTTTAAGTTTAATTAAAAAGCAAAATGCTCTGCGGACATGTTCATGAGAATATAAATTTTTCGTATAACGAAATCTACAACACTTGTCAATCATATTGCATGTGTGTCTAAAAATAACATGTGGGCGTCCCACGGTCTAGACAGGTTTTGTGTCAGGCCCTATTTCAAATAGGGCCTGAACTTCAGGTTAGGTGAGATGTAGAAAATCAACTGCCGATATTTTTTATCTATTTGGTTTCCATGGAAACTGGTCACGTGACAAGATATAGGCGGTGATAATGGAAATTAACTTAATGTTTATAAACACGGCTTGCCGACTTACTAAACATTCATGGATATGTACAAAAATATTATCACGGAACCTTTTACTCTTATACTGCAATGTGGTAATTCGGAACTTAAAGATTATGCCACTGATATGAAAATATTGCTGTGATTACAACAATGTCTCGCACAATGTCAATATAATTTGCACTAAAACGATCGTTCCAGATTACAATGCTTACAAATCTAATTGTAGGACCAAAGTTGGCTGTACTCTGGACAAAATCTACGTATTAGCGACCGACATTAACGTTGTCTTGTAAGTCGGCAAGTCCAACGCGTTTTTTGCGTGATGAATTCGCGCTCGCCATTATCATTAATATAAGCCCCTGCCGTGAAACAAAATATTATGAAATACAAATACACAATGACTGATAAACCATTTACAACTAGTAAGTAGTGTATTCAAATAATATGCGAGGAACAGAGAGAAAAACGTGTACAGAAGTACAATATGATAAGTACATATTTTCGTTTATATATTGAGAGAATATTCGACAGGAGTCTGAGTCTTTATATGAAAGGATATTATATTTCAACAACAACATTTATTGCGTCCTCAAGTTTTTAAGAGAAATATGTCACACTTAAACAACATCACCCCAAAAAGTTTGAACCATCCATATGCTGAGTACTTATTTGTATTTCAAATATTTTTCTGTGAGTGGGAAACTAAAGAAGAATCACAAATCGATGTTGAATAATTGAGACATAAAATCCCGCAATAGCGTTATATATCAAAGTTCAAAGGTCGCCGCATATCACATAATATGATATATGACATATATTATACTATACAACGGCCAATTGTACAAGAAAAACTGATAATTTACTCATCCCTGCTGGTTGCTGTAATCTAACATAATATAAAATAAGCCAACAGCTCATAGTTCAGTTAAATTTCAGTTTCATTCGAACGGCAAAACGCAGTCAAACGGCAACACGCTGGATATGTTGAATCGCGCGCGCAACTCGCGCGGACATATCAAGTCAGCGTGGGCAGAGCCAACAAGAGCCAGGTATTAACCGGCCTGAGCTCCTCCAGTGAACCCAGCATCTCTGTCAAAATCGTCAGCAATGGTATTTCTCAATGGGTTCAAAGTTAAAGCACTCTTCGATAGCGGAAGCAGCGAAAGTTTCATTCATCCTAGCCTGGTTGAGACGGCTTCCCTCTTTGTTCACCCATCCTCCGGGACAGTATCCTTGGCTACTTCCGACAATGTTACTAAAGTTGCTGGGTACTGTTTGACTAATCTTACCTATCAAGACCATACATATGAAAACCTTCGTCTAAGAGTGTTGCCAGGATTGTGCACAGACCTGATATTGGGTCTCGACTTCCAATCAAAGCATAAGAATGTCATCTTCAACTATGGTGGACCCGAGCCACCTTTGGTTGTGTGCGGTTTCAGTACGTTGAACATGGAGCCACCAGAACCCTTTGCAAACTTGACTCCTGATTGCCACCCTATTTCCACCAAATCTCGACGGTACAGCCAAGAAGATTTGTTGTTCATCGACGGTGAAGTGGAAAGGCTTCTCAAGGAAGGCATCATCGAGCCAAGTAAGTCCCCTTGGCGAGCACAGATGGTGGTTACGAAAGACAAGAACCACAAAAAGAGAATGGCTATAGACTATTCGCAAACAATCAACAAATTTACGCTCCTGGACGCTTTTCCATTACCACGAATTGATGAGTTAGTCAATCAAATTGCCCAGTATAGAGTCTTCAGTACAGTTGATCTACGCAGTGCATACCATCAAGTTGCCCTCAAAAAGGATGACAAACCTTACACAGCATTTGAAGCTCGGGGTTGTCTTTATCAGTTTACACGTTTTCCTTTTGGAGTCACAAACGGTGTTGCCTGTTTTCAACGAGAAATGGTACGATTCGTACAGGAAGAGGATCTTAAGGCAACATTCCCATATCTTGATAATATCACGATCTGTGGGAAAGATCAACAGGATCATGATGTGAACTTGAAATGTTTGCTGGACGCCGCAGAGCGCAAGAACATTACCTACAACGATGACAAAAGTGTGTTCTCGACCAAACGCCTCCCTATTCTCGGGTATGAAGTAGAAGAAGGGGAAATTCGTCCCGATCCAGAGCGTCTTCGACCTCTACGAGAACTTCCTATCCCACATGACTCAAAATCCATGAGCAGGTGCTTGGGATTATTTTCATATTATGCGAGATGGATCCCAGCGTTTTCAGATAAAGTAAAGCCTCTTTCCAGCTGCAAGACCTTCCCGCTATCCCAGCAAGCTGCTGATGCGTTCGAAAGCCTGAAGAAATCAATAGAGAAAGCTGTTGTTAC